CTGCTTTATTGGCGGAAAGCTTTCTTTTAATGTAGCACTTATAATCGAGCCATACCTAGAAATAGTATTGATATAAGGAAAACAATAATAAATAAATTTTGTGCTCTTAAAATTTTATCCGCACCTTTTTCCAGCTGGATACATCTTTTGTCGGTGGGCCTAAGCTGTTTAGCTGCTGAGCGACGCTTTCCCAAAACTCAACTACATCCTCTTTAGCTCCTTTTGCAAAGCCGCGAGCAATGTCCGGCCTTTCGGTCAGGCATTCTACCATTTTTTCGTATTGCGACCGATTTGTTGTGATCTTCGACCTGATAATTTTGTAAATATTTAACAATAATCCATTTTTTTCCAATCACACTTTAACTTACATATTTTTTCCTTTACACACTTTATTTTATTGATATTTTAAAAGAATTCGCTTCGCTCCGACACCAGTTGCTCTTCGTAGAAAATTTCCGACAAATACATACAAATTACAGCTACGTCGGATTCAGGCATACCAACATTACGAGTTTCGAAGATGGTCTCCGAATTTCGAAATTACGATACGGCAACGCGGATTACAGCATACCAATTTTAAGATTCGTAGCAAAATCGAATCTACGACGGATTACAGCACAGGGGTGAATAATTTGGAATTTATCAAGCTTTGGCTTGGAAGTCCCCAACCTTCAACCTCGCAGAGTCCGTGTGAGAGCGTGCAACAATTGCAAAATATGGTTTTGAATAAAGTACAGAATTTAGCATTAGAAAAAGAACAAGTACAATTGGAAAGGGAAAAACTTAAAATGGAAAGAGAAAAATTTAAATTAGAAAAAGACAAAGTGCGTAATGATTTTAAGTTGAAAAAATTTGCATTAAAAAACGAACTTGAATTAAAAACGGCCGAAATCGCATTACGCACAGAAGCCGATGAGAGATTAAAAAAATATGAAATATACTTAAAATCTGGTTAAATGAAATCTAATGTTAAATAGTATTTAGAAATACATACATATATGTATATGTAAATACATACATAAAAACTAATACATATGTTTTTAATAATATTAAAATAACGCAAATTTATAATGTTTTTTCGAAATTCAATTCTTGGAAGTTTGACAATTTGAAATACCGTTAATTTTACATTTAAATATGTTTTAATATTAATTTACAAGCCTACTATGTACATACATACATACATAAGCTAGATAATAAAACTGAATATTTTTTATTTACTAGTTCAGTAAAAGAACAAAGTTGTTTCATTGCATTTTATATATACAAATTTTCATTTAGACTTTGCTGAATTTCTGGAACTTTGCTGAGTACGATCGGAATGAACCAAACATCGTGTGCACCGCTACAAACATTTCACCAGGATATTTTTCGAGCCAGAACATTTTTCACTTATAAGTTTAAACAATGGTTATTTCCTAACCCTTCTGCAAGCTACATACATTGACGCTGAATTTTATTTTGCATAATTTTTTTAACTCGTCGTTTAATTGCACAAACACAGGTTAAAACTTAATTTCTCTTTAGTAAGCTGAATTGTAATATTCAAATTGTTTCATTTCAACAATTATAGACAGTGATTTTTCTGCTTGTTGTACTCACACCAAAGAATAATGCGCAAGTGTAAAAGTAATTTAAGTCCGCGTGTTCACTCCATTACGTTACTTCCAATATAACCAGAGGGGTAAGCTTATATTCGGCGTGTTGAGGATGAATTTCCAAAATAATTTCAATGCGGTATCAAATACACCAAAATCAAATTCTGATAGCAAACGTGGTATCGTCGAGGCTAGAATTGAAGCGAGACGAGCATGGAGAGCAGCGTACATGAAAGAATATCGGGCTCGAAAAAAACGCCAGTCTGATATTGTACACGATCGAGTTAGCGCTAAAATATCGAGAGAGAGAATTGAAGATTCAACGCCTGATAAACCTCTTAATAAATTGCAGCAAAAAAGGATGCAATTAACCGCGAATTCACAAAACTACCGAACCCGGAAAAGAAATTTAAACAATGCAGCTTCATTTGCCTCAATCCAATCAATCGAAACAGACAGAATATCTGAACCTGATTCCTACGATTCAAATGACGGTGAATTAGTACTGAAGTTTGAGACCTCTGATCCACAGTTGTCAACCTCTCAGAGCTCATCCGATTTTACAACAACAATTGTCAATAGGAGCACCATGGAGAGTCCAACAATGCGACAGAGCATTATGGAAGCTTCGCAAACCACCGCTCACAATACACACGCTAGTAATCGCAACGATTTAATTAATTGGAATTTACAATTTATGAAGCTTGAGCCGGGCAATCCACAACCTTCAACGTCGCAGAGCGCATTCGATTTGTTTAAAGAACAAATTTTAGCGATTGAAAAAGAAAAAGTAGAATTAGAAAGGGAAAAATTTAAAATGGAAAGAGAAAAATTTGAATTAAAAAAAGAAAAAGAGCGATTTTGAGTTGAAAAAATTAGCATTACAAAACGAACTTGAGTTAAAAAAAGTCGAAATTACATTACGGATAGAGGCCGATGAGAGATTAAAAAAATATGAAATTGACTTAAAATCTAGTTAACTGTTAGTGTTTAAATGGTATTTACAAATGCATATGTATGTAAGTACATAGAAATTAATATGTACACATGTTTGAATTATATTAAATTAACATAAACTTATAATTTTTTTCAAAATACAATTCTTATGAGTAAGACAATTTGAAACCCGTTAATTTTTACGTTTAAATAAGTTGTAATATTAATTTGCGAGTATATCATGTACATGCATACATAATTTGGTTAATAAAATGGATATTATTTATTTACTAGGTTTGTATAAATACAAAGTTGTTTCATTGCATTTTATTTATAAATATTTCCATTTAGACTTTACTAAATTTTTAGAACTTTGCACATGTATATATGTATTTGAAGGATTTTACTGAAGTATCAACCAAGAGCAAATATGTAGATACACAATTATTCACATAGAATAGATTTGATAAAGTCATCGTTAGGTACATACATACATCTGTGTTCACAAACCATAACCGCCTACGTCGAGTTAAGATAAAATCGATTTATATATGCTGTCGTATTCTCCAAGTACTACTGTATGCGATTCCCCATCTCCCCAGCTAAGCTATTTAAGAAGTTATAAACGAAAATATTTTACTTTCCCCATATGGCTAATATTACAATCCAAATTGTGAATGCCCACAGACAAATCTATTATTTCGTGTATTAACAAAATTTATTTGTTATAGTTATATTTTATAAATCAATTTATAAATTACTAGAGTTATCCGGCCACGACTTGCTGTGGCTCAATCTAATAAAATTGAAATATGAAGATTGGAGAACTTATATGATTTTATTTGCATTCTTCATCTATCCACTTGTTCATTTTCAGTGACTATCGAAAGTAATCAACGCCAAATCCCTGAAATTGTTTCCATCAAGTACTTTTTAAACAGCTTTCATCTGATATTTTAATACTCTTTTATTATTTTTTACTTTTTTGCAATACTTTTCGTTTCGGAGTCATTTAATAATTTGTTTTTCAAATCTATTAAGAAAATCCTCAGTATAAAAATTTATATCAGTGACACCCTTTTGAAAAATATCTGCATCAAAGAGTTTTTGAACAATTCGTTTGATGAGTTGTAAATTTTTTGTTCATTCTAATAAAACTTTTCCGAACACCTTTGCTTTAGTATCTATGCAGTAATGTTCATTTATCTTGACTTTTTAGATTGGTGGCAACACTAATGAAAAATGTTTCTAAGTCAAAACTTTCTTAAATACCTTTCCCTTTGATACCAAATTTGTTATACATATCGAAAGCTTATATTAAATACCCTCTATTTGCACTTTTCACACAAATTAGATTCTGATTTAAAAATCCACCTAAGACTTAACTATCATCGGTGATATTAATGCAGACTTTGTATAACGCTTTATAGAAGAATTTACTATTAAATTGCAAAGTCATAATTAACATCAGTGATGATAGGTAAGTCCCTGTGGGTTCTTACATCACCAAGTAGTTCTTGTGAAAATTGCAGATAGAGGGTATTGAATATAAGCCATCGATATGTATGTATATCATTTATCTTATCAATTAAAAAAAAATGTTTCTAAATTAAGCTTTCTTAAACCACTTTATTGCAACATTTAATTTACTTTCATCAACTAACTTTAATTCAATTTTTCAAACAGGTGGCAGCACTCTAAAATATCTTGGAAATTAAGCTTTCTTATGCCTCTTTAGTTTCATAGCCATATTGTAATAAAATGTTATTTATTTTATAAATTTAATCGAATGCAATTTTTGAAACATATGGCAACCCTCCTCAAAAATATTTTTGATATTATTCCACTTTAGTTTGATACCCAAACAATAATATTTCATTTATTTTATCAATTCAATCGAAATTTTTCAAACAGGTGGCAACTCGTATTTTTTTGTTTTAAACCATGCGGAGTTTATAACGAATTATTCAAATTCAGCCTGCCGAACAAACGAACTTAACATTTTTATGACGACGTTTAAATCGTGTGAATCACCTAAATATGTGCTTTAACGTATACCTCGTGTTTAAATATATGTACTTAAGTATTGCACGTCCCTGCATGTGTTTTAAATAAATGCATTTTTTGCTAGCCAAAAATTTGCTGTCAATATTCCACATACATACATACATACATATGAAAGTACGTGAATGTAAATACCCCCGTAGGAAATAGGGGCTCGTAATAATGCCTTATCAGCAATTTACACCTCAGTTCAGCGCTCGGAAATAACCCAGCCAAACGTCATTTTTCAAGTTACAACATAAGGCGTCGTCGGAGATGTTCGTTTTGTGTTTTATTAATAGATGACAATTTTGGCACTAAAAGCTGCTTACCTACTTTCCCCAGTGGGACATATGTATGTACATACAAATATACATATGAATGTAATATGTAGGTGCGTGTGATGGGTATACACAAATGCATTTTTATAACAAAGACTCGCGGAATTATTTATTGACCTTGATGAAAATTGTTCAAATAAAAAAGGTTGTGGGAGGTTTCATATACTGTTTACACAATTGTAAATTAGTCGGTGAAACTGCAAAACGTTCTATGTCACTTATTACCTCTGGTGCTTAATTGATCTGTTATTTGTATCTGATCGGTTGTGGCAATAGTTAGTCTTCATCAGCCAAAGGCAGACAGTTTTGTCATTCGTTTTTTAGGATGTAACGATTTGCAGATGCATTCCAGTGCAAGTAAGAGACCATCTAAGTGTCAAGGGTACTAATAGACATAGACCGTTTTGCAGTATCACCGTTGAAATATTTAGTTTGAATAAGGTGATATTTAGCGCAGTAAAATTAGCCTTTTTCTCAAAATAAACAAAAAAATTGTAAAAGCGATTTTTAATGCAGTTTATGTACTTCTATTTAACACGTAGATCGTGGAAGCACAGTCTTGCAGGTTAAAAAAAAATATATATATTTTTTTTGGAAATAATTAGCAAAAATTGCGAACAGCTACGGTTTTCGCCATTTTTCGACAATTTCTGTTAAAAATACATAGCACAGTGAAATTTCAAAGCTGTAGACAATCTCATTCTCCACAACTTTATACGAACATTTTTTTGGTACGATGCTTAGTTCACGGCCGGAAACGTGACAAACATAGCGATGTAACGGCAAACAGTGTGGCCTTTTGAAAAATTCAACATGGCGTCTCAAATGTGGCGTCTAAACTAACAGTAAATTAGATTTTCCACCGGAGAACCCCGCACTAAAAAACGAAAAAGTAACAGCAGGTTCTTATGTTTTTGAGGTTGCTGATTACGAACCGAGAGTATGATTTTAAAAAATCATAATGGCGCATCCATGACGTACCATGACGTATCGTACTGTACCGGTTGACGTGTTGTTGAAATGAATTTTACACCGCTTCCCTTAAAGCATAAACAGACGGCAGCGTTGATCCGGATCAACTCGGGAATTAACTGCAGTTGATCCGGATTAAGTCCGAGTTAATCCTGATCAACGCCGCCGTCTGTTTAAGCTTTTTCATCGCTATGTTTTCTTACGTTCCCGGACGTGATCTTAGCATCATAAAAAAAATGTAGGTATAGAAGTTGTGGAGAATGAAAGCTTGTTCACACCAGAGAAGTGCGGTGATATTGCTCTCGGTAACTGGCTGTGCACCAGACATCTGCAGCGGGTGCATGATTTTCGTGTATACTCGATCATCTAACAAAACCCGTTTTACATCGTTCTCTGTATACGAGCAGAAGTATTGTTCGTTATCGACTGAGCTCAAGACGAACATGTTGGCCACAACACCCGATTGCTTTTCATACATACTTGATTGGGTTCGGGTGCTTTGCAGCTCAATATACCCGGGTGTTCGAGTTTCAACCCGAGTGTCCACAAAATTTTCTTGATTGGCTTATGACGATTTTGTTTCTACAAAAAATGTTGCCTTCTCATCGCGGTGTTCTTAGATTTTGTGCGTAGAGGGTAAAGAGAAGGTTGAATTTTTCGGTAGTTTGTTTAAGTGTACATTTAACCATTTCTTATATTTTTGCTCATACAAAATGCGGCATCACGACGCCTACATCCATTTAGGTATAAATGTGTGTAGATCGGCAATGCCCAAGCCCTATACACTCGGTGCACATTTATTTTTTGTAAAAGTACTTATGTACCTACATAGTTTTAGGCTGTGTTCTAATATATACACACACAGCTTTCCACGCGAAACTATACGAAATAGATGCAAAAACATTTTTGTCTACTTCGCTTCTAATTTTTTCATTGCGTATGCACAAGCACAAAGCAACAACATTTTCGTATGCTTTGTGGGAACATATTGGCGCCAGTTACCTTCAGCGTAAATTTCTTTGTTGTCCTGCATTTTATCGCAATGTTCGGGTGTCCGTTTCATTGTTACACAAATTTTCGGGTTAGCTGCGGGTGTCCGAGTGTGGTGTTCGCTTGTGCTCAATTTATAGCGAGGGTGATCGAACAGACTCGTTCGTAACCAAAGCAGCTGTCGGGTATGCATCTCGATCGAACACATAGTAGCCGAGTGTGGCGTTCGCTTGTGCTTGATTTTTAGTGAGTGTGATCAAAAAGGCTCGATCATACTCAAAGCTGTTCTCTGCTGTGCACTATAACGATTGACGATTTTTAGTTATAGATGCAGTTATATATTTTGAAATAAGGTCTATCGATTTCCATATCAATATTTTGTGTTTCCGAGATATTGAGTACAATTTTTTCGATAATTTAGTAAAAATTTAGTTGGTGATACAGTCATATTAAACTAATCAATATCTTAAGAATGGCGTTCTCCATTTTTTGATATCTCCTTTAGTTTCCGAGATATTGAGTAAAAAGTGTCGTTAGTTTGGTAGAAATTTTGATCACATTTTGTCGTATTTCATACAAAGTGGCTGCCAAATTGTGGACAAATGACGCTTACGACAAAATTTTACTAAATAAAATCCTTCATAACTCAAAACAAATTAACAATAAACATTAAAAATTAAATAATTTAAGAATTTTGTGAACTAGTAACATTTTCAGAGGCTTTGGAGAAATTCTATCATCGCGTTTTTGAGAAATTGCATTCCAAACTTTAATCGCGATTTCCCACAACCTGCCGAAATGAACATACGACAATCTTTTAAGCAGGCGACGATTTGGAAAAAAAATATGAACGGTACCTACCTATGTCCAGTGTTGCCAGAACTTTTTGGGCCGACCGGCTAGATTGGCAAAAAAAAGCGGCTAAAAACGGCTAAAATGTTTTAGTGAAATTTCACATAGACTCTGGCAAAAAACGACTAAAATGTTTTAGTGAAAATTCACATGCTTTATTTAAATAAATCGCAAGAAACGAAAGACTAGTTAACACCATTAATTTATATCGAGTGTATACTCCTCATCATCAAATGAATCACTATTGTATATATCACCGGAATTCATTAATTTTAAGAATGCACATTGGATTTCTTTGCTTAGTTTTTATTATATTCATTGAACTAAATATTCGCTCTACTTCTGCATTACTTATAGGCAAAACAAGAAAACTAAAAAATAGGTTGGAAAGGTCAGCAAAAGGGTTTTATCCTAGGGCATTTCGAAATTGATAAACTTCGGCCCAAAATTTTACAGTTGAGTCTAAATTACTCCAGGTATGTAACGTTAACCGTTGCCATTGCATCTCTATGGATGTTATTTCGTCGGCATTATATTTGTGTTTTTGTTGCTGTAGTTGAACAAATACTTTTGGTTTAACTACTCTTAATGCATTTCCAACCGAAAAAAGTCAATTTTTTTAGTGTGGCAATATTTGTAGGAAGGCGTTGGCGTAATTCCTTTATTAAAGTGATAATAAAATACTGACCATTTTCTCGAATTATTTTCTCGGCTTCGTGGTCAAAAGCGTTTGTGCTTACTTTTGTTTTTAAATACTCTTCAAAACTGTGATAAAACTGAGGAAATGGAGCAAGGTATGGTTCCAACGGGGAGCATATAGGATCAAATGTGTCCACGCTAATAACCACTAGGGAGCATAGATGCGAAAGTAAAACATTGAGTTCATTAAAAATCTTCATTGGGTCTGCATTATCGCTTTCGAACAACTTGTTTACTTTTTGCACCTGAAAATTAGGCAAATAGTAAAATCGGCTAAAAACGGCTAACTTTTTTTTACAAACCGGCTAACAAATCGGCTGCCGGCTAGATCGAATTTTCTCCGGCTAGTTGCTATCAAAACCGGCTAAATCTAGCCGGAAAACGGCTAAAATGGCAACGCTGCCTATGTCCTAGCTACTTCAAACTTGCGCCATATTACATCTAGTAAAATTGTGTGCTACAAAACTGCATGCGCAAAAACTTTTTAAGAAATCTAATCAAAAGTTTGAAATGTTTACGAAATATTGCATAAAGCTTCAAACTTGGATTGATGTTGTTTTTGTTAAAGAATTATGGGATATTTAAATAAAACAATTAAAATTAATTTGGAAAAATTAGAATACTCAAAACCAATCATTATGTGACCTTATCATTATGAAAACTTGTAACAAATTGTTATTAACTTTAACTACTTGGAATGAATATTAATAAATAGTTAATGGTACATAAATACCTACATATAAGTATAAATATGTACATACATACGTATCATGCTCGCGATAACTAAAAATCTTTATTTTACAACAACAATTATAATTTAATGGCATCGCACTCATCAGCATCGAGTGCAAATGAGTTCACTCTCAACAGGCGGACTCACTGCAAAACAAACATAATTCAGATAGCGCGTCAAAGCGGTCGATCGGTTATTTATAACAACTTAGAATATTATATGTACATATGTATAAATATGTACATACAGATGAATGTTTGTACATCATATATAACTAAAAAATATAAATATGTACTATATGTACATGCATACATATGTAGTACATATGTAGTACTTGTATACTAAATTTGTTAGGCGGAAAACAAAAATTTAACGTTGCACGAAATCCATTTATTACATGGTCGTGTATGTATATAAATATGTATGTACATATGTATGCATATATGTAAATATGCTGGAGGTACATATGTACATATTTAGAACGAGATCAAGCTATATTTACAAGCACAAGAATATGTACAAATGTATGTGCAAATAAATATAAACAAAATGTAAGTATAACTTTTTTGTCCTCGAAATAAATAATGGTTGCTGCTAGAATGTCACTTTTGTGCAAAAAAAGCGATATTTAATTTTTCTTAGTTGAATGTTTGCATATAGGGTATTATATTACGCCGTCCCATATTTTTCAGACTTTTGGAGCCAGACTATACTTTCCCAAAGGGTTTTTTTTGATGCGCCGAACTTGAATCACCTCAGGTTCTCGAGTTTTTTGTCGTCACATTTCCATATCAATATTTTGTGTTTTTTAGAAGACTTGATGTAACGTTTGAAAGTATACATATGTAACACTGTTTCTGGAAAATTCCGAGTAAGATTGTTGCTCATTGACATAAATCAAAACAAATGATCTCCATTTATGCAAATGGATATCCTTTGAAATGTGAAAAAGCTGAACAACTTAAGAAATTTCGATATTGTTTAAATTTATACGGAAAATACGAGTACTTTTGAGTTTTGCAGTCTTGAGGGTTTAAGGAAATCCTATCCCTACATTTTTTTTTTTCAAAAAACGTGAACATAAATAAAAGTCGCTTAAATATTTCAGTTTTGTTTTGTATTTTATTAAATATTCATTAAATTTGTTATAACTTAACTGCAGCTTCATACTTGTTACAGTCTCAAAAGGTTTTAATCCTACTGATGTACATACATTTGTATATTAAAAAGAATATGAAAATGAGTAATACAAAATATTAAAAAAATATTAATAATTATATTCAAAAAGTGACATTAGCGCATTGAATACCTGAAAGTACATACGCAAATTATGAGCTCATACAATTACTGATTTTATAATTGTTTATAAAAAAAATTCGCAAAAAAGGAATATCCAGTATCCACTATCAAGTTACTTAAGTAAGTTACAAAGTTATTCTAGAGCTAATAATAGTATCTACTAGTTATTAGTATTTAAAACTTTTTTTTTCACATTTAATATTGGCAATTTGCATTACATCTTTATTTTTTTTTGTTTCCGCTCTTATATATGCTGTGGTGTGCAGTAGACGACAGCCGTGCAACCTGCATACGCTGCACACAAAAAATGGCAGTTTCTGCAAGTTGTTGGCTGCTGTCACTACTGCTGCACGCCGTCAATACTCCCCGCGCTGCTCTGTGTACTTTCTGCTTTCGCTCAGCTCAACAAAAAAAACTCGACGAAAACTCGTTATCCTGCTGCGCTGTTATCCAACAAAAAAAATCTGCTTTTCTTTACCTTTTCCACTCAATCAATACGTACAATTCAATGCTCCTGCTACTCCCGTTCTTTGTCACCAATTCAATTTTTAATTCTTATAATTTTTCTTAATTTTCAGCTCACTTATCGTAACGCATTTGTACTCCTGCTTCTTATGCTGCTGCTGCTGCTGCTGCTGCTGCACTACTACTTTACTTTGGACCAACACTCAGTTTTTGGCGGCACACGTTTTTCGATTGTTGTTGGTATTCATAAATTTGGTTACTAATTTGCGTGAATGTCCATTAGGATCAAAGTGGTTGGTGTGCTCACTGGCCTCCTTCTTGCTACGTTGCTTGCCGCTGCGTCCCGAAAAGATATGCTTATCGTGGTCGAAGTTGTAGTGCTCGTATTCATCAAAGTAAGCCTCAGACATTTTTTTTTCGAAGTAAAGATTAAAGCAGCTCACAAAATTACAAATGAGATCTTGATGGATTTTAGTTGTTAACTTCCTTTAGTTTTGACTGCTTCTTTGTAAAAACTCCGTTTATTCGGTGGTGTGTAATACTTTTTGTAAGAAAAGTTTTTGTAGAGATATTTTTAGCTTTTACAGATATGCAACTCGCCTTTATAGCGCGTATAAGTACGTCTTTGCTTCGCAAATTGTGTTATTCAATTAAACTGGATTTTTGCTGCGCATTTCCCTTTATATACCCACCGGAGAGCCGGTGCGAAAAGCGCCGTTTGACTTGCTTTTGCTTTTGAATTTGTGTTTTGTTTCTGTTTTCGTTGCCATTGCTAGTGGCACTGTTGGCACAATTGTATTGGTGGCTTATGTGTATTGTTGTTGTTGCTGTTGCTGTGTTTGGGGCTTGCTCTCTATGTATTATCTCTCCCGCACTAAATGGGCGACAACCGGTTGGGGG